ATATATACTAGATTTCTTAGACAATATTGTTGTTCATCGAAATATGATATCTAGTAAGCATCCCGTATTGATAATAAGTGGCTGATTTGTTAAGGCCATTTCAATTTTATGAAAAATTGATCTGCAGCAACAGTTGAGCATTCCATGAAAGTAAGCGAAGAAGCCTTATATAGCTTTGCCAAGCAATAGTCGAGAGCATTTCATAATCTATTTTGTAGCGACGCGTAGTATCTCCTTGACCTATCGAGAAAGAAGTATCTGTGATTAGTGAGCAAAGGTAACACAAGCAATACTGGAAGAAAAAAAAATGTCTTCATATGCTACAGCCGCAGCGTCTAGATGTTTCTACATCTGGCTTGGCAATTGAGCTCTAATGTTGCTGTGGCGGTTAAGGTGCTATGAGTGAATTGCGTTGACAAACGTAGTTAATATTATTCGGCAGCACTTGTACCAGAAATTTCAATCAATTCATTTTAAAACAAAATACCAAACAGCAAAATATATTTACGATACTAGTGCGTTATGGCTGATCCTCATGAATGTCGTTCGACATTTAATTACTGGGCCGCTGCTTGAATCTCGTCTGTCATTTTTTTTGACTCATCAAGGTGAATCACGGATGCGCGCTTCCAACCGGCAGGGAACTTTTCGTTTATGAAGAAGTCATTGATAACGCTCACTGAAACGGTGTTATTGTTCATTTTACTGCCGAAGACCAGTACAGCACCCGAACCCTGACCATAAGCTTGGCGCGCCTGCTGTGGAGTCAAATGAAATCTTGGATCCTTCTGAAACATTTCGCGACGAGCCTTGTAAGTATGCCCTACCGACTCTGCCGATAAAAAGCCATTTTTGGCTCGACTGGTAAGGTCTTTGACTAAGCCCAGATCGACTATTGCAGGATCGACTCCTGTGTATTCAGGGCGGCGAGAAAGTGAGATAGGATGTCCCATCGAGGACAAATCATTGAGCGAAAGCTTATCAGGCAAACCTGACAAAAGCAGATTTACGACTTCATCATCATGGCCAAATTGCGTTTGAATTGCATGGCGAATCTCTGCTTTGGTAATGTTCTGGCCGTTTCGCTTTAGATGACCACAGTTACAAAGAGTGTTGAGGGCAGGGCACGGCGAGCGGCGGAAAGGTTTTGTAGTACCAGGAAATCCCGAGGTCTTCTCTAGAGGTGGCTTCCAATACTGTCCTTCGATCATGTTGGGAACTTGACAGGTAGTCAGATCCGCGAACGAGGCAATAACCACGGCGATGAAAGTGGAGACGACAGACACCATTTTAGGGGCAAATTGGAAAATGAAGTTTTGTTTTGGCTTGCAATTCCGAGGGTATGGCAGATTTTCATCACACCACCTTCTCTGGTCTGTCGAAGGATTATGTCTAAACAAGTTATCGCTCTGTATATCAGTATTAATCTCAACTACGCAAATGCAATCTTTGAAAATCGAATGTCCCGCGTGATTTTTAAAAGACGTGTCGATGCAATTTCAGTAACACGTAGA